TCTATTCAGATTTAGCCAAAACCCCAAAACCCCAAAACCCCAAAACCCCTCTCTCTATAATAAACAGTAAGTGAGGGTGAACTTTTATTATTTAAATATTAATTACATAAGGTAAGGCTCTTGACTAATAAATATGGAATTAACTTATGTATCTATAGGCAGATGGTCAAGCTTCCCAACAGTGTTGTCTGGTAATTGACAAAGAAGAACAACTCTTTCTTGGTTAAGTTCAACGGTCAAACTTTCTCCCACGACCCCCTCAACCTCACTGGTCTCCACAACGCTTCACAAGCAGGTCTCAGCAACGATCAATCAGTTGGTCTCCAAGCTCAAAAGGTCAAGTCAAAGAAGGGAGCCTTAAGAGGTGCTGTCAATCTTCTCCAAAGACACAAATCTCACAACAAAATCACCAAAAGAAGAAAGAACTCTACCTCAGGAGCCGTCTACTCTAGTCAAGTTCTCAAGAGAGGAGTCAACAGAATCGGAAGAGTTGTCAAGAATCTCACCCACATCTCAGAGAGAGTTAGAAGACTCGCCTTAAAGAGAGTGCAAAAACTTCATGTTGCCAGCAGATCTCAAGTTAAGGGTGGGGCCGCCAAGAAAACCGAGAAGAAATGAAAGGCAGGGTTTGCTATGGATTGATGATGTTTTCTCAATTCAATATTTTATAACAAGATTCTCGAAATTTACTTTTTATATATGTTATATATTAACAATCAATAATATCTCTCATAACATAAGTTAAATTTATAAATCATTATTCATGATTCCTCCTTCATGTTACAATATATTACTGTAGCTCAAACAGAACCAAAATCGTCCATCCACTTTTGATATTTGCCAATGTTAGTATGATGAGTAGCGGCCTTCGTAGTACTTATAGCATTATTGAAATCTTGATTTGTAACTGGCCCTGGTGAAGGCATGGATTTAGGATCAGCCTATATACTCCAATTAATGTTATTAAAGTCTGTTTATATTTCGATCTCACTCATCAACCTTCTTAAAGGTTTCATGGCTGCTTCTTTACACACTAATCTGATATCACTACCACTATAGCCCTAAATAATATGAAACTATTTTTAAATTTACCTCTAACTATTAAGAGAATGTGTCATAATCAAGATTATCGGAGCTTTTTGTTGGAATAAGTTTCCTTATCATATCTTCTCTAGCCTCTTTGCTTGGGAGTGGAACTAGAATTCTCTTTTCAAGCCTTCTTAGGAGTGCTGTGTCTAATTCCCATGGGAGGTTGCTTGCTGCAAGAAGAAATACTCTTTCATTGGATGACTTAATAAGTCCGTCAAGTTAAATAAGTAATTCAGTTTTCATTCTTCTACTAGCCTCATGCTCTCCAGTTGAGGTTCTTGAACTCATGATAGAGTCAATTTCATCAAAGAAGATAGTACTAGGCTGATGGAATCTAGCTATCTCAAATAGCAATCTAACAAGTTTCTCGGAGTCTCCTCTCCATTTACTAACGATAGTTGAAGCAGACATATTAAAGAAAGTAGTCCTGCATTCAGTAGCTACTGCCTTAGCAAGCATAGTCTTTCCAGTACCGGGTGGTCCAAAGAGTAAAATACCTTTCCAAGGCTCTAAAATACCTGTAAAGAAGTGAGGATACTTTAAGGGCATTAATACTGCCTCTTTAAGAAGTCTTTTAGCTTCATCTAACCCTACAATATCATGAAACCTAACATTTGGGTTTTCATTGATAATTTCTCTTTAGATAGTCAGAGCAAGTTCTTTAAGCTCAGGGTTAAATGAATAATCTGGAAGTGGTTTTATTATCCTATTTTCAAAATATTCTTCTACTTGATCTACTTCTTCTTTCTTAAGCATCTTGATATTTTTTCCTTCAAGCACAAAAGGGGTGTCTGCTTTACTTTCCTCACCTTTACCATTTTAAGACTTTTGTTTGGCAAGTGGTGCTTTGCCATTATAAATAGTACCCTATGGTTTATTCATTTATCCTCCCACTGCTGCGACATTACTTTAGATATTTGGAACTGAATTTGAGCCATTCTATCCATTATCTCTAGATTGATTTGATTAGGCTGAATTTATCTTAGGCAAGTTAACTCTTTATTTTTTAGGGTCCACCTCATTAAAGGACTTTCTTACCATTGTTGGTTTCCTCTAAAATTTCATTTCATAGTATTCTTCGAAATCCTGTACAATATAGAATAAGTCGATATTATCAGCTACTTCCCATTTATCAAGGCCAAGATTACATTCTCTGGTAAGTGCATTTGCTGCATCGATATAGCCACAGTTAATAAGATGTCTCTAAACAATAACAAGAATATTTCTCCTCCTCTCAGTAATTCTTTTCTCTTCTTGCAGTCGGGACTCTCCCTCTGCCTTATATTTCATCAACATCTTAGATTACTTTAAATGCTTAAATTTATAATTTCAAATTCACAATTTTATAACTTATTCTGCTTTTTGGGGTTTTGGGGTTTTGGGGTTTTGGGG